TTAACATGTATATTTATAATCAAATAATATATTTCAGAAAAAAGATGCTCAAACTTTTTTCTATAATTACATTTCAGTAATTAAAAATAATGAACAAACTCTAGCACATTTCCATTGCATTTTATTTTTATTATGGTTTTTATATAATGGTTCATTTCAAAAGAAATTGTTTCTTTTAAAATATGCAATGGAAGTAAAATCTGTAGTATGGCAAACATTCTAGAATAGATAGGAAGAATACATTTATAACTGTTCCAAATGGCAATTCTTTATTGCTTTTGTTTTTTAATAGCATTTAATTATTTACTTATGGACTTTTCGACATATCTCACAAAAAGGAGAATAAGTAAAGCAAATACTAAAGCAAATACCTACAATCTCAAATATCTTCAACCTCTTACCTATGCTCAGTCACCTTTGTCCACAAATTCTGAAAGAAAATGTATGCACAAAATTGAAACCTACCAAAGGAACACTTTGCTGATGCCTTGAGCTTCTTGGTCAAACCCTGATGTCAAATTCTGTTAAGTTTGAGTGGACCACAAGAGCCTTCTTTGTCTAAATCAGGCAGAATTAAGCAGCATAGGCAAAAATTCCCTCTCCAAACATCTACTCCAAGCTTAAATACATTTAGAAAACCCATTGTCTCAGCCCCAAATCTCCTTAAGCTGATAGGCAAATTTAACAAAGTCTCATGTTACAAAATCAATGTGAAAAAAGTCACAAGCATTCCTATACATTAATAACAGACAAACAGAAAGCTGAATTATGAGTGAACTTTCATTTACAATTGGTACAAAGAGAATACAATACCTAGGAATACAACTTACAAAGGATGTGAAAAAACTCTTCAAGGAGAACTACAAACCACTGCTCAAGGAAATGAGAGGACACAAACAAATGGAAAAACATTCCATGCTCATGGATAGGAAGAATCAATGTCTTGAAAATGGCCACACTGCCCAAAGTAATTTATAGATCCAGTGCTATCCCGGTCAAGCTACTATTGACTTTCTTCACAGAATTAGAAAAAAACTACTTTAAATTTCATATGGAACAAAAACAGAGCCTTTATAGCCAAGACAATTCTAAGCAAAAAGAACAAAGCTGGAAGCATCCAGCTACCTGTTATCAAACTATACTATAAGGCTACCATAACCAAAACAGCATGGCACTAGTACCAAAACTGATATGTAGACCAGTGGAACAGAACAGGGGCTGAAGATGCCACACATCTAGAATTGTAGGTTTTAACTAGGGGAAGGAAAAGAATGCCAAGGAAACCCCAGTACTCTGTAAGAATAAGAGAAAAAAAGCCAAATTGATGGAACAAGATAGTATTTGCCTAATGACTCCAGATAGCAGTTTGAAGCTGTGACAGGGGCGATATAGGTATGAATTTAAGAATATAGGCCTAGCCTGGTGTGGGTGCTTATGCCTGTGATCCAAGCACTTTGGGAGTTGAAGCAGGGAGAACACTTGATATCAGGAGTTTGAGACCAGCCTGGGCAACATGTCAAAACTCAGTCTACACAAAAATATAAAAATTACCCTGGTGTGGTTGTGGGCCCCTGTACTCCCAGCTACTCAGGAGGCTGAGGTGGGAGGATCTCTTGAATCTGGGATGCAGAGGTTGCAGGGACCCAAGATTGTGCCACTGCACTGCAGCCTCAGTAGCAGAGCAAGACTCTGTCTTAATAAATAAGTAAATAAATAAAATAGACTTGGCAATTAGAGTCACTGGGTTTAAATGTACATAATGTAATTTTGTTCAAATTATATAACCTTCTTAGACTTGGTTACTTCACTTATAGAATAGTGAAATCAAAATAGCTGCCACACAGGGTTTACATTAGGATGTCTTAAGATAATGAGAGTAATATGCATACACATCTGCCTGCCACCTAATAGATGCCCAATCACTACTGACCATTATACTTTAGCTGCTAAATGTCTCTCATATTTTGTGGAAATCAAAGTAAGAGATAAATAAGGATACGGCCTGTGTTCTCCTCAGAAGATTGAGTTATTGTTCATTTTAGCCTCTGTAGATTCATGAAAAGAAGACAGAAAATAACATAATGCAGCCTCAGAAGAATGTTAGTGAGCTAGATCATTCATTCATTTATATATCAAATCTTTATTGCCTCCTGTTTTTAGGTATTCGAATTCAGTCTGGGGACAGAAATCCCTGCCTTTCAGGGAGATTAGATTCTAGTGGAGTCATAATAAAGTAAATAAGTAAAATATAATGTGTGCCAAGAAGGTGCAAATAAATAAAAGGAGAAGAAGGCAGAATATGCCTTGTTCAACAATGTAGCTAGGAAAGTCTTCACTGAAAGAAGATGCTGGAAGAAGTTGGGGAGGGATGTGAGGCATGTGAGATGCCAGATCACAGAGGGTCTAACGGGCTTTCGGAAGGATTTTGGCTTCAAACTTAATATAATGTGGAGAATTCGTGGGATAATGACAGGATAGGCATATTCCAATTCATGTTTTGAAAGGATCATCTGAGTCACCTTTTGGAAAGTAGATTGGGTTAAGGGTACAATAGGAAGACATGGTGGACACACAATGGCAGCAATCTAGTGAGAGATATTGTTAGTTAGAATCAGGGTGGTAGCAGCATAAATATCATAAATATGTGGGAGAATTAGAAATATGTACATTAGAGATATATCAGGTAGGATTCCTGAGCCACTAAAGAGTTAGAAAGAAAGAGTATCTTTCAGGATAAGTATGTCATTCATCAAATTGGGAAAATGTGAGGGACAAGCAGGATGGATGTGTGGGACAGGTGATGATTAGGATAAGGATGGGAAATAAAGAGACTTTTTCCCTACGAGGGAAGATACTTTTACATACTTTTCATTTACAAGTTGTATGAACTTCAGAAGTAATGGTCAGTTTTTCTTTTTCATTTGAACCACGGAGAGGCAATTTTTGCTCCAAAGTTTTAATACATCTTCTTAAAAGGAAAAGCAGAACTTTATAGATTGAAAATCTCAAGAAAACAATCATTCCCCTAGTAGTTTAATCTCATCACTTAATTCATCTTTAATTCATCTAGTCATTTACCAACAATGTTGGAGTGCCTCCTTTGTTCTGGAGAGTATGAAAATGATTTGCAAATATTGATAAAGAAAACTAGTATGGCCCCTACACTTACTGCGATTTATACAGCTTGTTGGTGTTGTGTGTGTGTGTGTGTGTGTGTGTGTGTGTGTGTGTGTCTATACAGTATTAAAATGATTCTCGATCAGAAATGTTGCCATCTTACTGTGTTAAGATACATGAATATGTCAGCAGGTTAAATGTTCATCAACAGTCACTATTATAATTGATTAGCTATGTGGACATGTACAATGGGGAGTCTTAAAAATATAGATTTCAAAAGTATAGTGAAAATGATTTTTCATAGAAAGTGAGGAACATAATATATTTACAAGCTGACATTACAGTATCTATAGTTAATCTCAAGATTTATAAAATCACTTCAAAGTTTCAACCACCAAGTAGTAACTTAGGAACACTTAAAGATGAGCTAACAACATAAAGGATATTCACAAGATAGCAATATTTTTTTTAAAGTACTTTATTGAACTATAAAGATGAAAAACCTCAATTCAGGAAGTAGTGCTGTTTTTCAGTTTTCTTCTTAAAAGTTATAAGTTCTATGGGGTTAGAAATATATTTACTAATAAAAGTTTTTAAAATAATGACATAGTATTTGAAACAACATTAAAAACCAAACAATCTAGCAATATAAGAGATAATCTATTAGTATTTGTATATATACTATTGCACATATTTCATTTACAAATTTTTCTTGTAGACATCTTAAAAAGAATTTCTATTTTCAGAGTAGTTAATATCAATAATAGTACTAAAAAACTCTTGATTTATCCAGACACATATACATTTGCATGTAAGTGTATGGGTATACCATATAAATTATCAGGAGAAAAAGAAAATTTAGAAATTTTAAATCTGAACATTATTTTATGTTAAAAATTTTGACACATGCACTGAGTATGGTTGTGTTCATGTATACCTTTTCTCCACATTCTTTGTCAAATAATTTGGAAAATTTAAAAATTTCTAATAATCAGTATTTTTAAAAGATTATATTAAACTAATCCCAGGTATATATATTTTGTTCATGTCTACCTAGAAAGGTTGCAGTTGAATTATCATGGGCTGTTGCATGATTTATACACTCTTCCTTTTTCATGTTCACTTACTATAGGACTAAATTAATAAATAAAGCTAGTTTGTGTGGTAGAAAAATTTCTTTGGCTGTCCTGCCTAAGAATCACCCTTTCCTTTTGAGTACTTAGTACCTTACCCACCTCATGCTGTGAATCTTGGGGACTGATAGTAGTAATAAATCCCCTTACAATATTGAAGGTTAAATACTAGATACTTATTACCTTGGCCTTTCTTATACTCACCCACGAACATTTGAAAGGAGGCAGGTGAACTTGACCCAATCTTTGAAGTGGGATATAATGATGTAAAATCCAAGTGATCATGGAGAATTGATTGATTTTGTGGCAACCATGCAGCAACATCCAATTGACAGCAGCTCCGTGGCAGTAATGACTGTAATATATATCATGAAATATATATAAAATGCTTTAGTGAGCCGAGATTGCGCCATTGCACTCCAGCCTGGGTAAAAAGAGAGAAACTCTGTCTCAAAAAAAAATTGCTTTATATATTATTTTGTTATTATATATCAAACAGTAATGTATATGAAACACTTTACAGTATATTAAGTTTTTCATTTGCTTGGGAGACAGATTTTCCAGATATAGAGATGACAATACCTCTATCCCACATGCTCTTCTGGAATGTGACTTAGACCTTCACTGAAGAAGGCTCCTGGCTTGGCTGCAACCAATATGGGGTGGAGGCAATGCTGTGGTATTTCTGAGACTAGACCAGAAAAGGCAATGTTACTACTGCTTTATCCAATCAAATTCTCATTCTTGAAGGCTTCAGCCACTATGGAAGCAATCCAACTCTTCTGAGATCACCAAGCTATGAGGAAGCCCAAATTATCTCACATGGAGAGACCACATGAGAATCTCTACATGAAGAGACTTCAGATTACATGAAGAGGAAGAGATGCTTGGCTGGTTGCTCCAGTTTCCTTCATGTCAAAATCCAGCCATCTTCTGAGTATAACTACATATGAGACACTGAGCCAGATGCTGAGTTGTGCCTGCGTTTGTGACCTGCAGAAGCAGTGAGATAGATAAAAATATTGTCATATTTTAAGTCAATGTGTTATGGGATATTTTGCTCTTCAGCAATAGATGATAAGCTGAAATGGCTTTGGAATAAGCAAAAAACAGTTTCAAATATTTGCTTAACTGAAAATAGGAAATAAATTACCTCCCACATACTGCCACATTCCTGGTTTTAAAATTATCTAGTTTGAGAGGAATTCCATGTGAGGAGTCCTTGATTTGGGCCTCCTTCTTACCCGTCTCTGAGGTTTATGCTGCAAACACTAAAGTAGGTATAGTTCTAACCTCCAGTTAAACCTTCTGAGTTAAATTTGTCTCAGTTGCGTATTCCTATTCCTCAATAAATCCCTGATATTGAACCTTAGATAATTCTCATGGAAGGAGAGGCATTTTTCTTTCACTTACTGGGATTGCCAATTTTTCTCTCGTTTCCTTTAATTGTTCTTTGCTTATCTAATAATTACCTGTCTCTCTGGGGTCTCTTTTATCTACTATTCCTCTGACTGCTACCCTTTCTATGACACACTGACTGTTATGAGCATGTTACATTTCATAAACTTCACTTACAGTGTTTTGGCAAAGGAAGTTTCTCATCTGCATGCTTTCTATGGCAAACACAGTTTCCCTTTGCCTAATGACTAAACAGATTTCTTGAAACTAAGAAAACAGGGTTATGCCTTAGGATAAAATAGGGCTTTTATCTCGTATAGAACCACATGTGTTTGTTTATCCTCACGTCATCTCCCTAATGTCCCGTGAGCCTTTCTTACTGTTGTCTTTACATATCATCTGGAAAAAGAGGCACATTTGCTTTTACACAAAACTTCTTTCACTTCTATTATCTTTTTGCTACTCTCTTGCAAAATTGTCCTCCCATCTGTGTGCTACGCATCTTAAAATTGTCAAAAAGGGCTTTCTTCAACTTTGAATGCTCTACAGTAGTTCAATCAAAATACAGAATGCTTTATCTTCAAACTAATCCTATGCTTTTTCATTATTAAAAATAATTTTTGTTTGATCTTCATTCTTTTCAATAGATGCAGATGAGCCAGAAACTGGAACTGACTTTTTGAAATAATCTTGAGCTGATAGAGAAATCTATGCTACAATATGTAGAGACTCTTTATAATATGACAAATGTACTGTGATATACATGGGTAGACAGTAAGGAAGATGTAGAAAATGTGAAGAATAACAGGATCAGTCTCCATGCGAGCCTGTACAGGGAAACATAACGGAGAGGGTCTTTGCCTGTGAATTTCAAAGAATGTGCACTGCCACTACAGAATGTTACCTACAGTATGTCAGGAGGTCATTGAGAACATAATAGCCAAATACTAAACTGAATCTATTCTGCCTTCTCAACTCTGCAGCTCCACAGCTACCAAACAGGTCTTTACAAAACACTAGTAAAATCTTCAGATCAAAAGCCTCTCCGATGGAACCCATCACCCAGGGAAACAGAAGCTGCTGCGTGTATGGAGTTAGCAAATAGTGCAGAGAACCTCTCATACAGCTAAATGTCATTTGAAGCCCAGTGAGAACAAAGTTCATTGTTCACATTACGCTTAGAAATATATTACTAGTGGTCTCCATTAAAGTGCAAAAGAGAAAACAGCTGTTCTTCTTCATCCTAAGTTCAGTATTATTTTTATTTGCTATACTCTGAGGGTTATGCCAAAATTTTCAAATACTTTTGCTATCTCTGAAATCTTTCAGTTAGGGTTTCTTCTTGCTTTATAGTATGTATGTGTGTGTGTGTGTGTGTGTGTGTGTGTGTGCATATATATATACACACACACACATATAGATGTATTTGAGTATATAATATGTTTATAAATCATCTGTAATCATAAATTTGCTATGGATTAATATTTTTATGAACAAGACACATATGATTTATAATTTTACCCAATGATTGAGAATTCTGAGGACAAAATAAAAAGAAAGTTACAATCATTTTTATGACAATATTGAGCTCATATTTAGAATGTTAAAATATCATTTTAGGAAGCACTAGAAGAATCCAAATGTTTTTCTATCATATCCCTCTTGGAAACGAAGCAAAAGTTTACTTTTGATAAAACTTACATACGTTAAAAGCTAGAAGTTTCCGTATTTATAAAAGCTTTCACATAACACACAGAATTTTGATAAATAGTGGAAATAGGATTTTCTTTTAAAATTAATAATTTTTAAAATAAATTGTTACAAAGGGGTTTGAAACTTAATTGACTTAAATAATGACATACCAGAGAAGTGAACAAGAAAAATGTTTTTATTATTTGTGTTACATTCATAACAAATGACATTGATAAGAGCGTAACAAAAACAAGGTGTAAATTGGAGGCATATTCATGGCAGTTCTAAGTGCCTTGAAAAGTTGATCTGAATTGCTTGCTTCAAAGAGAAAATAGACTCTTAATGATCACTTCTCTGACAACTAACAGTAACATCATTTTTAGCTATGACTGCTAAAATTAGATACCTTCCTCTTGGAAATATACATTCCCAGACAGCAGCACAGGATGACAGCCTTCACCTCATGATAAGAGGGAGAGTAATAATTTATCTTTAAATGAGCAATTTCTGTGATGAAGGAAAAAAATGTTACTTAACAAGGATTTGATGGCAAAATAATGAAAAATAGTGCCACACTAATTGTTTAGCAATATTTAGTGAAATGTTTGCTTTGATTTTAAACAGAGTGGTACAGCTTTAAAGATATCTGTTTATTATTAGTACTGTTCATACCAGGAAAAAAAAAATTTATTGGTGATAAAGGGCTTTAACAAAGTTAAAAAAGTATGCTTACTTGAATCAACTATACAATAAAATGGACTTGTTAGAAAGTGCAAACAAATGCCTTTTAAACTGCTTCCCTAAGGCTGTTAGCTGTTGATAACTAAACTGGCAGGCCGATGCCACCATCATTTCCCTAGCAGTGCAAAACTAAACTAGGGGACCTTGTCAGGCCATCCATCACAGCTTGTCACCTGAAGACATAAATAAAAATTCAGCATTTCCCCAGATTTATCAGAAAGCTGGTATATCTATTTACAGACCCCATGGCAAAATTATTCCTTAAATTCAGGCTTTTAAAATGTATACATTAGTGCTATGCAGGCATACAGCCAACATTTATTTTGCAAACTTAAAATGTACCCAAGAAAATTATTCCAAAACTAAGAAAAATACCTACAGAAAGAATATTAACTTTAAAGCCTTTAATTTTATTGATCATAGTAATTTGACAGATCAATGTGTTAATGGAAAAGAATTGCATCTATTATGGTTATGTAGAGTCACCAAAATATTTCAGGAAGGGAGAAAATATCCTTCCTCTTCCTTTGAAATTTCTTTTTTTTTTAAACATACTATAAGCAGAAGTATGGGCTAGAGAAATACTCTAGAGTAGCAGTCTGCATTTTCTTTTTGTCTCAATAGGAACAGATAGTAAATATTTTAGGCTTTGAAGTCTGCACATGTTCTCTGTTACAAATTCTTTTTTGGTTTTACTTCACAACTCTTAAATATATAAGAAAACATTTTTAATTCATCAATGATACAAAAGGAATTAGAATCAACTGGCCAGATTTGAATCATGGATCATAATTAGCAGATTTCTACTTGAGAAAATAAATGTTTATATATTTATTAAAATGGCACAATTTTATAATTTAAATTATGGCATTTTTACAATGACTATTTTCAAAGAAACAAATAATGCTATTAAAAAAAGGTTGTGTTTCACTATATGAGAACAGTATTGTTAGACATAACTGCTGACATGCAAGTGCACTTTAAATTGTTAGCATTTCTGACTATGCATAACATATTTTGGAGAAGACAATTTAATGCAAGCTGGATGGCATGCCAGGTGTATACTGTCACTTAAAATGGTACAGTGGGTAGTCTTGAGACAAATAGAATTAAAGTGAACTCAATGCCAAAGAAGCTGTTTGAAATAGATCTGGCAGCACTTCAGAGGTGTGTTATCTTGGTGTGAGACTACCAGTCATCTCTTTTAACATGTGTCAATTTTACTGACAACATAAAAGCAGCAAAATAAACTTTGAATTTTTAATTCTTTTTGAATCTCTGTGTGTGTGCATTTCTTACAGCTTTCTGAAAGGTAAAGAAAGATCGATGTTAGGTATTTCAGTGAGAAAAAGCATTGTAAAAGAAAAAAATAACTCCATGAGTTCCACAGGTAACAAAAGCTAGCACAATTATTGTGAGATAGTGTGGAATTACACATGTATTTGATAACATTCCCTGAAATTAGCTGGACTATATGCTATTTATTAATGTATTTACAATTATTGAAAATCTGTCAATTTATGAAAAGCTACCACCTTCAAACAAAGCACATTTGTTAATCTTCTGTTGCAAATACCTGTTTGGTTTTTTTTTTTTTTTTTTTACAATTTGCAATTGCTACTGCTGTTTTTTGAATCAAGAGGAGTAAAGATATTTTTAAATTCCTAAAGAAGTTAAGTGTTTAAATGTCATTGACATTTTGAGCCGCTTTTGTACCAATTTTTACATGTTCATAAGTTTTTTTATTAATATCATAATTTATTAATAAATAGTTACTGTGCTCCAGGAAGTAAGTAGAAATGAGGGAGTGGAAAATGAATAAAGCTAAGTAAGTACTGCATTTTAGAGGTGACAACACGCAAGATGTGGTATAGCTTTAAGATTTGTTGGGCATAGATACATCCTAGATGCTTTAAGCAAATTGATGAATTAACACTTAAAACAACCCTCAGGTCATAAGCTGATGCTCAGGAAATTTAAACCTAATTTTGGTACCTAATGTCAAACAAATAGCCAATAAGCAGCAATCAGAATTTGAAGCTAGGTATACCCTGAAGCCGAAGTCCTATTTTGTGTTTGCATTGGTTGGTTTTTCCCCAATGCATTCTATAGCCATTTTTTTCCACAAAAGCCAAATAAATCACTAAAAGTCTTAAGGCAAGCACAGTTTTAATTATATAAGGCCTACTAAGCTTATTCCTGGGTTGTATTCTTGTGACTAAACATGTCTTCTTCACCAGGATATTTTATTATTTATAACTTCTGTCAGTTTGTCATCCTTTGCCTCATTCCATAATTCTGGTTTTCATTTAACTTTTGTGCTAATTTTATGATTCTCATCTGTATATAGACTAAAATTATTAACAACTAGATCTTTTACATTATTCTCATATTTTTTCTTCATGATACATAACTGTTTCTAAATCTGCCACTTTCTGCTTTCAGCCAGTTTCTCCTACTTCCTCCTATACAGTTAAAACTTTTTTTCCAATGTAGATTGTTCAAAGTGCCAGTAAGTAAATGACAAAAAGTGGGAAGTTACTGAAGGAAAAAAATTACTTTATATCTTACAGAAAGTCTCAGTGTGCACCCAGCAAAAAGAGGCTCAGGAGGGGATCTGTGACCTTGGTCATCTTTTTTTGTCTGGATTTCTCTATGAGATAGTAGACTGCTGCTCCCTACACTGCTGGCAGAGAGGGAGGCCAGGGCTTGCTGAGTATGGAAAAGACTGTGATCTGTCACACAGCAGGTGGCTCTCTCCACTTGACCCATGGGTTTACAGATGAACAATTCTACCTTATGTTTTTATTATAGTTAAGAAGCAAGGGTGTGTTCCTCATGCTTAAGCCAAAAGTATTTTTTTTCTATAAAGCGGCAGATGATGAGTCTGGCAAAAGTTTATTAATAAGTTTTTTCCTTAATATTACAGGCAACTAAAAACATATCTAAACTCTGCTTATTAAACAGCTGCCAAAATGTAGCTAGCCAGGCACAGTAGTACACACTTGTCCCAGCAACTCAGGAAGGTGAGGCAGGAGGATAGTTTGAGCCCAGGAATTTGAGTCCATCCTAGGCAACGTAGCAAGACCCCCAGGTCTGAAAAATAAATAAGTAAATAAAAAAATGTTGCTTCAGGGAATTTTAAAAGGAACAAACTTTTATCAGTAACTTCTGTTAACATATTTTTGATTATTTAAGAGCAAAACACTTATGATGACCAATAAACTCCTAACGTTTTCTTGGACACAGAGTTTGAAGAATGCTTGAAACTCCTCATTCAGGCAAGGCGATTGTTGAGGAGTGCTGTGATGTTTATATTTAAGTAGAACAGCTCACACTGAATAAGGTTTTAGAGATATCACAGTAATTTCATTTACATGGCTTCACAATGGAAACTCCTGTATAAATAGTCTGGGTATGTAAAAATGTGTTGACTATTTCAAAGTAGAGATTAGACTAACGTCTCAATACTAGTAAGTATTATACAGCTGGGAACACACCACACATCTGATTCTTGGGGCACTGTTTTTACACATGCTATCTCCCTTAGAGTAGATGGAGAGAAAAGTAGCATTGGGTTAATTATGGGCTTCTCTGGAGAGATTCATACAGAGTTCAGGGACCCTTGAAGGCTACCCTATAGTCTCAAGATGCCTGCAGTCAAAATCTCTGGAAGTTGGGGGATCATGATGACATTCGGTGCCAGTCAGTAGTGTAGCCTTCACAGAGAAGCAGAGTGATTCTCCCTTTGTACTTGAGCTCTCAGCAGGCTGTGATTGAGTGTGGTTGGAAGGAGTTGCCTGGCACATCAGCACCATCAGACAAAAAACCCCCAGCCCCAATGCTATCTTAGAGTTATTTCATTTTATTATTTATATTGCTGGCAATATTGTTTGCTGGACCATTAGAATATTTTTCCTATCTCACAGAAGTGTTACTATGATATAAAGTTATATTTTACCTAAAGATCTCTCAATAGCTGTTTCTGCGGAAGTACTTATAATCTTCCTTTTTGATCTTTTATGGATTCCATTCTTGTAGTAAAAAAATAGGCTTGAATATAATAAAAATTTCTATAACCTGTCACCAATTTCCTAGTTTTATACCTAAGCAAGTTTTTATTTTAGATCCAGGAAAAATGTTCAACATCTCCTCACTCTAACCCCCAATTCGATTAGAAATTCATTTGCAACATTCTTCTACTTATATTGTATTTCACCATCTCACTTTTTGGTTTATTATAAAAGTCTTCTTTTCTTCTTTTCTTACCCAGGCTTAAGCTCCTACATTGACATTTTTTTAGTAAAAGAGGAAAATGTTCTGGCCCTTCCTTATGGTAGCATTTCTAACATTACTGTGACAAAACAGGTGCTCTGGTCCCTGAATACAAAATCTACCCAACGGAACTTCTCACTTGTTCTCCATGACTGATTCTTTTTAAAATCACCACACAAAGTTTAACGAGGAGTATGGCAGAACATAGAGTGGGACAGGTATTATAACACCACCTGAGTAAGATTGTAGAAATGAGAATGGAGGAAAGAAAGATGGAAGAAAAGCGGGAAAGAAGGAGAAAGATAAATTAATTCAAAGAAAAACTGGACAACACTTTACTGATGAGTGGAAACACACACAGACACACACTCACAGAGAAGGGAAGAGACATACTGAGGGTGATTAATGCTGTTAAGTAGGAAAGGACTCTTTCAAATGAAGCATAATCAATTTCAGCTCAGCAATATGCCCTCACCAGGCACATCTCCACTGTGAGGTGTTATTTCCAAAGGCTTTACTCTCATTATTCCTCCCTGGAAGGATAGCTTCACAAAATGGTTCAATTTTAACAGTCTTAGTAATTATCCTTGTTTCTTTCAAGAGGTTTTTATGGGAATTATTCCCACTAAAATTTTATACTGTCCAACAGGATTTAAAGAGGTCAAACCACTTTCCTTGAAGGCCTATAAATGCCATAATTTTATGTATTTTTTTTACAGATTGCCTTAGAAGTTGGGATCCTACTTTAGGCAGATCTAAATTATTTTTGTTAGATATTTTACTGCCTGTTCTGTGAAGTATACCAAACTCCCCTCTGATTCCAATTAATGAACCAGACTCCTTTCACAAAACATTGTTTGTAGACTTTTGTAAGGGTCCAGCATTAACCAACCATTAATTTATTTATTAACTTATTAATTTATCCTTTCAAAAACATTTATGAGCAGTTTCTCAGTGCCAGGCATGATTCTAGGTTCTAGATTCTAAGGACATAGTGACAAGACAAAAATCTCTGTCCTAATAGAACTAAAATTCTAGCAAAACTAAAATGCAATTTTAAGTGGAGATGAACTATCTTTATAATGATCCAGGATATGGGGTTAGAAACAGAGGGAGAGGAATACAATTTTAAAAAAAGACGTCATGAAAATTTTTTGGAGAGGGGACACTTGAAGAAGGAAGTAAATTAGACACACTTGACAACAGAAGAAGATCATTCCAAGAAAAGAGAACAGGAAGTACAAAAATTACTCAGTGGGGGAAGGGTTTGGCACAGTTGAGGACTAACTAAAATGTATGTGTGACTAGATCTGGGTGAATGAGGGGGTGAGTGGTGAAAGTTTAGCAAAGGAAGGTTTATTTAGGCATCCTTTTGAGCTTTGTGTATATTTAGATTTCAGTCTAAGCATGGTGAAAACTACTAAAAAAAACTGGGGCAAGTAGCAGTGACATAATATTTATGTTTGAAATATAGGAAAACCTGCAAATTGAATATTTATGT